CACACACACACAAACGCACACACACACACGCACACACACACACACACACACTAAACACACACACACTAAACACACACACACACGCACGCACACACGCACACACGCACACACACACACACACACACACACGCACACACGCACACACGCACACATGCACGCACACACGCACACACACACACACACACACACTGTAAAAATAGGCTAAACCATATTTGTAATAAGTGAGAAATGAGCAAGGTATGGAGTTAAGGGCCAAAATTCCCAACTCAGTACTAAAAAGGTATGCAATATTTAGAAGATAATCAATGAGTTAATTTTATATAAGCTTAATTATGCATGTTAAGGACCATATTTGTAATAAGTGAGAAATGAGCAAGGTATGGAGTTAATGGCCAAAATTCCCAACTCAGTACTAAAAAGGTATGCAATATTTAGAAGATAATCAATGAGTTAATTTTATATAAGCTTAATTATGCATGTTAAGGCCATAGTAAGCTTATGCCTAAACTATTCTATTCTTGATAATAGTATTTGACTTTTTTTTTTAATGTAAGTGAGAAAACCTGAAAAAATCAATTCTAGTCATCATTCCAGTCGTTGTTTCTTGGTCACCATGCTAGTCATTGATTTTAATCGTCATGTCAGTCATTGTTTCTGATTATTATATACTAGTCGTTGTGATCTAGTAGAGTCAAACTACTTATATTATTCATCTAGTTGTAAGAGATATTCATAAGTTATTATGTGTGACAATGCATCAATTATTTAGTTGCTCAATTGTTTAAGTTGTTCAATTGCTTGAAGTTATTTAGTTGTTTCTCAAATGTTTATATTGTTAAGTTTTAATTTGAATGTTGTTTTAGTTGTCGTACGTTATGCTTTAAAGTTGTGAAGCTAACCTATTACTTAAGTTGTATATGTTGCTTGAAGTTATTTACTTCTTTATGTGATGATATAGTGTTTCTTTAACAAGCTTACTCTTATTTTTTTCCAATTATTGGATTGTTATGTATACTTGTTATAAGAATAGAATAATATATTAGGTTGAAAGCATGCTTGGTGGATGACATGATGAGGATGATTTTTATGTTTTGTTGAATTATTATGATACAACATATATGTAGAGATGTTTGACCAATGTCATAGCTTTATGTTTTCAATATTTTCATACTAGATGTATATATGTATATATGAATAAGGTTTTTTGTAACCCCTATAAAGAGATTTATGTTTACAAGTCAAAATTAACAGGATTTGTTTTATGTTTTTTGCTTCTTATATATTTATTGCATAGATGTCGAGGTACCATTGCATGATGACTTTAGGTTAGTAAATTCTTTATGTTTTCTATTATATATTAATTGTATTATATTAAGTATAATGACTTATCAAAACTTTATATTTTTAATGATACCAGGAACACTATAGTGATCTTATTATTATTTGTGAAGTTGTTCAAGTTATGTTGTGAAGTGTTACCTTATAGTTTGTTTTGATCTTAGAATAAGATGGTAGATAGACTTGTTAGATATCTTATTTGGTCCCAACTAAAATAGCAAGAGTCATATGTAAATGAGAATTATAAATTAAAAAAATGGTTTAGTTACTCTTACCAAACATACGACTTCTAATGGTGATAAAGAAGAGTTGTTGAATATCGTGGGGTGTCATTTTGGAAAGCAGATCCTGAGAAGACAGATCTTGAACGATTTGGTGGTTGCCAGTTAAAGCAGCCAAATGAACCGGAAGCATCCCATCAAGTCTTGGGATGACGAAAAGATCTTGGTTTTGCTTCATAATTGTAAAAAGATCAGCATTTCCTGATATTGCAGCTGTGCAGAAAACTGTGTTCCCTTCTGAGTCTGGTATTCGCAGCTTTTCTCGAGTCATATGTTTCATCAAACCCTCCACAAAAGAATTGCTTTTCGCACTCACCGCCACATGAAGAGTTGTGTCTCCACTAGCCGTTAATGGAGTGCAGACCATATCAGGATAATGATTGAATGTAGGTTCTGCTTCAGCCCACATATCCTTCGATGCATATAGGTATAGCTCTTTTTTCAAACATTCTGTCGTGGTTAAAATTAAAACCAACAATATTTAAATAACAAAATTATAATGTTTATAAACTATCCACAAATATTTTACACCTACCTAGAGCTTCTGGAGTCATAGCATTGAACCCTGATCTACTAGTACTACTTCCATTTCGCGGTGAGGAAGCAGCGGAAGTAGAAATTGGAGTTAGTTCCTGGCTTCGATTTGATGCTATTATAATCTCAAGCTCATCTTCGGGATCATCTTCTACCCAATTTGACCTTTGAAATCCCCTCGCTTCTGATTTTCTCTTTCTTCGCCGCCGAAGATTCCACCGCATTTTCTGGTGCTGTGATACTGTCATCAATTTATTATGGTGTTCAATTCAACACCTACCCTAACACTTTCTACTTCTCAAAAACTTTTTTAGTTGAACGGATCATCTGATTTGAAAAACACACCATGATATTAAGATAAAACTCATTAAATCATTTTTTCACGACTAACTATTTTTATAAATAATTATTATAAAAAAGATAATAAAAATAAAAATAAGTTTTTACTTCCACATTTAAATATACCAACTATGGTTGTTAATATATATTTATATATTTATTCTATGTTTTTCAATTAAAATTTAAGAAATTGAAATAATTTTACTGATTTCTACTTATCAATATTTTAAATAATTAAAAATAATTAGTTATTTAAAAAATTCTACTGTAAAAAAATCATTTGGATTCAAAATGAGAAAAAAGTTGAATAAAAAAGAAAAGAAATATAGAAATTAAAAGAATTAATTGTAATATTTACTGAAAACTAATCACAAACTAAGGATTTAAAATATACCTGGTAATGTTTAAGTGGCGAATATATGGTAGATATTCTTGTAGCAAGATGCTCTAATTAAGATTTGATACGAAGTTGCGAGTATTGGAAATGAAGTATAGAGACATGCATCTCAAACTCTTATATATACTCACCGACGGATTTAGGTTATGTACAGTGCGGTCACTTGTCCCAACTACTATTTAATACACACATATTTTTATTTAAAAAATAATATATTTTAAAAAATAAAAATTATATTTTAATAAAATAAACATATATATTTAAAAAATAAAAATTATATTATAATATAATCTAGTCGGACTTAATTATTTTTATTTTTAATTATAATTGTAGATATAAAACCTTGTAAAAAATAATTATGATATATTTATATTTTTAAAAATTATATGTAAAATGTTTAATACTACAAATATACGAATAAATATTGTCTCAACTATCTAAAATTTCTGGATCCATCACTGACTACAAATATACGAATAAATATTGTCCCCACTATCTAAAATTTCTAGATCTATATACTTGTTGACCAAATTTTTTTTCTCTCAAGTGGTTGTATATTTTATCAATTTTTCACTAATCTGGTCTTTTTTTAGTTGCATGTCCATCTTTTGGACAATTAACAAGCTGCATGCCAACTACTAATTCACACCAGAATGAATTTTATTTAAACCCGATCCAACCACCACTCAAAATATATATAGAATTGAAACATACGTTATTATCCAGAAGGTCACAACTAGGACAAATTTTTTTAATGTTGACCAGTTGTTCCTTGTTAGGATAAAAATTGATTCAACAAATGAGTGAACCACCAAATTCATTCACCAAAGTCAGGCTTTAACAATTTAGCCCATAAAAAAGGGAAATTAAATTATATATGAATATGCATAATTGCAAAACGAGGTGCTATAGCTCAAGATCTGCATAGCATCAACATAGACAACATACATAAGAATCAAATTGTGTATAGCTACATTTATTTATTCCACAAACATAGATAATCTTTGAAGTTTCACCTTGGAGGCAAGGTAGGGATACATATACATATATTAAGGTAGGGTTACACAGTGACCGAAAAGAGAGTAGCAGAAGTAGCACCAGTGGCAACAGTAGTCACTTCCTTGAATTCCTGCACCTCCCTGAAGTTCAACCATTCTTTCACCCACACCGTTGTTTCATACACTTTTTTGGTCTCACCATCTTTTGCTTCAAAAGTTATGTAGTACAAGGTACCTGAAACCACTTGCTGCTTTGCACTAATCACCTTCACAAACTCCACCGCTGCATTCTGCATGCGTACCATATATCATTATAAACAACAAATTAAATATTAATTTTTACGTGGCTACTATAAATTGATTATTATCCCACTCAACAAACTTATCTTATATCACCATAACAGTTCATAGCTTTTTATCGGGTACCAAGTTAACATAAAGCATAATATATAGATCTGAAATTGTAAGGTTGACTTAAAAGAATATAAAAGTATAAACCTCTTTCTTGTTGTGTTCGTCAACAGCAAAACGAGCTAGATCCTCTATCTCCACGCTGTTGGCAGCTCCGGGCACATCGCTAATGCCACCACTTATTGGCTCCACTGTTGTCATTTTTCTTTTTCTTTGTTTCTTTCTGCATCACTCTCTCTTCTGTCACTTTTTATAGAGAAAATATCACACACCATTTGGGCGAATTTCGGTCAAAAAAAAAAATGAGATGAAAAAAAATAAATTATCAATTTTATTCTTTAGATATTATTCTTTTTCTAAAGAATAAAATTGATAGTATAAAAATAAAATAAAAATGAGATGGAAAATTTAAATGAATTATTCTTTGTGTGGACACAATTCACCCAAGATTTAACACGTGTTTGGATATGAAATTTGTTGTTATGTGTCACGATTATAGAATAAAAGATCTGAATGCTACGACAAGACAGGTTCTGTCCGATTAAAAAAAACGTTATTGTGGATGTCAAAAATAAATATATTAAATGATCTTTACAAAATAGCACCAGCATGGAAAAAAAAAAAAACGTCTGAAAAAAATCGTGAACGTTACATACCAAACTTCCTTTTTGAAAAAAACGATACAAACTAACCACTGTCGTATGTTTCATTATCCGTTTTTAAGAATTAAAATGTATATTTTTACTTTTTAATTTATAAAATCTAAAAGTAACGAAGTTATTATTTTATATTTTAAAGTTAAAGTTAATTAAATTAAACTCAATTTTTATTCAGAAACACTATATTTAATATCCAAACTGTTCTACTTCGACAATACCCAAATTATTTTACTCTAATAATAGTACTAGACTTCCTAATTTAAGTAAAAATACCTGAGAAATCAAATTAAGTTATTAAATGTGTTTTTTTAGAAGTTTGCAGATGTTTATACTTGACCTGGTTGTAATAGGTCAAACATTGTGATATGATAGGATTTAACTAATTACTTAAACTATTCATCTGTTGTAGGAGATTTTCATAATTGATATATATGTGTGACGACGTTGTTTATTGTTGCTTATGTTGAACATGTTATTGAGTTAAAGTTGATAAGTTGTAAGATATTTATGTAGTGATTGATGATAAGTGAAGTAACATGGTTGATGAATTGTGTTACTTAAGTTGTTATTAAGTTACTACTTTTACTTTACTTATATATGTTGATTCTTTTCACAAATTTATCATTCTTTTTCTTGTAGTTGGAACTACAATAATACTTGGTACGATAGTAGAGTAGGATTAGCATGATTGACTTGTTAGAGAGTGGAGGGTGCATGCTAGAGATAATTGGTTTTGAGGTGGCACTACTCATATGCAGTTTAGGTTGTGTGTAAATGCTTCGATCGATAAAGAGTTTATTTTGTAGACAATGGTATTTTATGTAAATTGTATATATGTTGAGGAATTGTTGAGTTTTTCCTATCCTATACATATATTTATGTGCATGAGATCATATGCATGTTGTTTAATAATCCTAGGTTAGTTATTTTTATTTATTCTTTTCATTGCATAATGATTAAGTTGTAGTACATGTAGTGATTTGCCGGGTTATTATAGATTTCATATTCCAATCTAAAAACCCAATCAAGCTGTGCAGTTTTAAAAATTTAAAAATCAAACTAAACCACTAATAATTTACAATTTTCCACTCGTTTAAGATTTTTTAGATTAGTTTGTAATTTCTTTTTGATTTTGAACACCTCTAATATGTATGGCTTTTTAAACAAACTTTCTAGATTGATCGACGCACAAAAATACTTTCTAAATTGATTTTGATTTTACTCGATCTAAAAGTTTTTCTGCAACAGTTAACATATAAATCTTTTTATTTCAAAAGTGTCATTATACAACAAAAAATAAGATATGTAGTATGTTTATCATTACTTTCGTAACTAGAATAATTAAAAATTGTCATATAGAGTATACACACGAATAAAGATGAGACCAGTAGTGCGAACTCATGGAAAATATCCTCGCAAAACACGTACAACATTATCCAATATAGATATAGGTAAAAAAATTGTTTGAAATTTAGATTTGGATTAGATCCACGTAAAGAGTATAAATATGACGGTAATATTTTATAAACTAATTTTTGTAAGGATGAATTAAGTTTTAAATATATATTTTTTAAGGTATGAGGATCTATATGATTTTAACTGTTATTATTGTTAATTTTGTCACATCATCTTTTATTAACAATTATCGAATTATCAATAAATGTTTAATTTTAAAAATTTTATATTTAAGATGTTTAATTTTTGACATGATAAGTATATATTAAAGATTATACATCGATTATAAATAAAATCATAATAGTATATATAAGTGGTAAATAACTTTTACTTTAAAAATTAATTTTATAAAATTAAATTACACTCCAAATATCCACTTTTTGAAGTATAATTATTTTTAATATATCTACCCACTTTTATTCACACAGAAAGAATATTCAATATTAATGGAAAGGTAGGTCCTGTTGTCTGCTTGGGCAAGTCCTCACAAAGAAGCTTTATAGTTGTTGATCAATTACTTGAAAACTACAAAAATGTTCCTGTAGTAGGAGTCTCAATTGATGTTTAATTTTGATAGAAAAACATAAATTTTTTTATGGATTCAATTCCTTCGGTATTTTATCGTACAAGTGCTTAATTTCTCTTGGTATTTAATAAATATGCATCTTGTGGATCATCTCATAGAGCATCAAATGACAGCATATATAATTAATCCATATTTGCAAATTGCAATTAATAATTCTGAGACAATAGTATTTATTTGTAATAGTTGATACTGAAATAGGATGCCAAATGTGCACACCCTTACACCACGTTTGTATGGCTACAATTATTCCAAACACACATATATATAAAGTAAAGTTGAGTAGCCATACATAATCTTCCGTAACCTAAAAAAAAAACATGAAAGAGACATTTAATTAATAATAACAACAGAGAAGTGATTAAAAATAATGTGAGAAATAAATAGTGAAATATAAGAAGGTAAGAAAAGAGAAGAGTGGAGTAAAATATATATATACATGGATAAGGGCTAGACGGAGACAGAAAAGAGAGTAGGAGTAGATGTAGTAGTAGATGTGGTGGTGACTTCCTTGAATTCTTGAACTTGTTTGGAGTTGGAGAGGGTGACCCACACCTTGGTTTCATACACCTTATTGGTGTTACCATCTTTTGCCTCCAAAGTAATGTCGTATATGACACCTGCAACATCTTGCTTCTTTGCACTAATCACCTTCACAAACTCAAGAGATGCATTCTGCACATATATATGCATGTGCAATTAAAACTTTGGTATATATATGACAAGTTGAGTAGGGTAAAGAAAAGAAGAAAAGAAAACCTGGTTTTGGTTGTATTGGTCAACAGCAAAGAGAGCGAGATTCTGGATCTCGACGCTGTTGGCAGCTCCAGGAATATCGGTAAAGCCACCCTCTTTGGTCTCTATTGTTGCCATTTCTCTTCTGAATTTTTTCTCTGCATTATGCTTCCCTACAATGCCTTTTTATATTGTTGCATGTGGAAACGCATCATGTACCTGCTTTCTCATTTTTTTTTTTAATATTGCATGTCTCTCTCTCATGATCAACGGCAATTATTGTACCATCAGAAATGAGAAGCAGGAGATAATTGTTTTTTTTTTTTTGGTAATGATAGGAAAGATTATAAAGATGGTCGTAACGAGGATTAAACCTAGGTCCGCATGCTTCTAACTACGCTAATCCCTCCCCACCCAACCACTAGTGATTTGAGAAGTAGGAGATAATTAACTTCAACTTATGGACTACAATTGTTCTACGCCGATAAGAATGAGATAATTAACCATTTTTTTTTCTTATCAAGAACAGATAATTAACTTAATAGCGAGACTCATCATCATTGTCATTATTATTACTAGTAGAATTAAGATATTTCGTGTTTCTATATTTTATTTAATAAAAATATTTATAAATTATTAATGTTTGATAAATTAATTGGTGTTATATTTAATTTTCAAATTTAAATATCTTGAGTTCAATTTTTATTTATGTAAGAATGATTAATTTTAAATATTTAAAAATTTAAGGATAAAATTATGTAAAAAATTATGTACATTAAATAAAATAATCCCTTTTATTATATGTCATAAATTAATGAAAAAAAATATTTCATGTTTTATTAATGTTTTGGGATGAAGAAGTTCAAAGTAATTATATTAATGTTTGAGATGAGAAAATCATAAAGCTATTATGATGAAAAATAATAATTTTATTTAAATTAAAAAAATCAAATTACTAAACTATCATCTACTTTAAAAAAAAAAAAGAATTGAACAATTAACGTAATAAATAAAGGACAAAGTTTTTTTTTTTTAAATTATGAATACGAAAATGATAAATTCTCTTTATATATTATCATAAAAAAAATTTCTCATCATCACTAATAATATTATCACCGTTAACATTATTAAAGTAATATATTATTTCATTTAAAAACACTGAATCATCTTTGGATATATATATTAGCAAATTAACACAATCATATATAACATTCATGTAAAGTCAAGTGTAGATGTGTGTGTCATTCAACTGGTTTTTTGGGTAAAATTTTTATTTAAAAACACTGAATCATCTTTGGATATATTAACAAATCAACACAATCATATATAACATTCATGTAAAGTCAAGTGTAGATGTGTGTGTCATTCAACTGGTTTATTTGGGTAAAATTTTTGAAAGATTTTCATATTATTATTGATAAAGTCATCGTTATTATTCTCATTAGTATCATTATTTACATCTTAATAGTATCATTATTGTTATTACCACTACTAGAAAAGTGTCATTTTTATGTAAATTTTCCTGCAAAAATATATTCGTAGAAATTTTTTGCGAATTTTCTTGCAAAAAAATATTCGCAGAAATTTTTTGCGAATTTTCCTGCAAAAAAATATTCACAGAAATTTTTTACGAATTTATTTGCGAAAAATAATTTACACATATTTCTTACAAATTTTGCTATAATTTTAATAATCATATAAATTTTTTTTCATGGTAAAAATTTGCAAAAAATATTGTAAGAATTTTATTTTGTTTCTTACAGATTTTCTTGCAAAAATAAATTTGCAAGTAATGTTTATTAAATGGTAGAAAAATTTTGCAGGTAACTTTTCCTACGGATTTTCCTGCAAATTTTAATCTGCAGGAAAAATAAAAAAAATATTTAAATTTATAAGTTTACTATTTATTTAAATTTATAAGTTTAATATTTTAAAAAAACTTCAAGTCCCACATCGATTGAAAATAAAGCAATTAAAGAGTATATAAGTTGGGGGGCAACACTTACCTTACAAGTTGATTTATATAGTTGAGTGTTAGGCTTATAATCTACCATCTTAGAATTTAAAAGATTATGTATCACATGTTGGAGGCATGGAAACAAATGCTTTGGATGAATTCAACTTATTGATAGAATTTATAGTAATTTCTTTATTTTTTTTGCAGGAAACTTTCCTGCGAATTTTTTTCACAAGAAATTTCGCAGGAAAATTTCCTGCGAATTTTAAAATTCGCAAAAAAATATTATCCACAAAAATATTATTTACAGATAAAATTTCGCAGGAAAATTTGTAAGAATAACGCTTCCTGCGAATTTTTATGAAAAATTTAGAAGAAAAATCGTATGTAATAAGAGAAATACTAATAGTGTAATACTGATAATGATATTGTTTATATTATGGTCACTACACAATTACACTTTTAAGTTAATTTTAATAAAGTATTTTTTAAAGTAATTTTATTTTAAAACTAAAGACTAAAATATATTATAATTTTAAATTTTTATTTTGAAACTTAAAACTAAAAATAATGATTTAGTTTTACGAATGAATAAATATAATTATTAAAATATTCCATTAAAAATATTTCTTGATGAATAATATTGAGTAAATATTTCGCATTTGTATTTATAATTATCTCTATCTATATATAAAAATAATTTTTTATTTTTGTGTACATAATTTTAAATTATTTTATTTTTAAAATTTTAAATAATTAAAAATAATTTTTAATTTTTTTTAAATAAATATAGAAACATGAAATATGTATGATATGTGGATAAAAGAAATAGTTTTGATTTTTTTTGTTTCTGACAATTTGTGGACACAAGGCACCCACGATTTAGCACGTGTTTGGATGTGAAATATGATGTTATATGTCACCATTATTGAATTAAAGGTGAAAGCTACAACAGTCAGATTTATTTCGAAAGCAAAAAAATCACGTTGCTGATTCGTGACCATACACGTTACTACTATTATGAATGTTAACAAGAGATATAACAAATAAATGTTCTTTACAAATATCACCAGAAAAAATAAGAATGCTTCAAAACAATCATCAATGTTACATATTTAGTATATACTAACCACTAGATTCGGAAACAATTAAGGCTTACAGATATAATTGATTATAGTATATAGTTGTGGAAAATATATTATTTTGACATTTGATTATAGATATAATTGATTATATGAAATTAGTTTTGTGATACGTGTATATAAAAATAAATTATTTTTTTTAGAATAACTCGTTTTATTTGAATTGTTTAAAATAGTTTTTAATAATAAAATATAAAAATCACATGAAACTATATTTATAATGAATCTTATATTTAAAACAGTTAATTGTGAAAAATAAATAAACAAGGGTTCCGTCCCATTTTTCGTCTACCATCAAAGATTCAATTATTGTACGAGAGAATAAGTAGGAGATAATTACAATCTTCATATTGTTCTTGAATATTTCTATATCAATTTTCTTACGCTAAGTATTGAATTTAAGATCGATATTAAATAGGTTTTTATATTTATTAATTACTTTCTTTATTTTGTAGTAAAAGAATAACTCAGATGATAATAATAATGTTTTTTGTACATTTGTGGACACAATGATGTAGCACGTGTTGAGGTCGGAAATATGGTGTTATGGTACAATTATTGAGTAAAAAAGATGTGAAAGCACCGACAGACAGGTTCAATCAGAAACAAACTCCTAATGTATAAATGTATAATGTAAAAAAGATGTTAAACAACATTACATCATAAGCAATAGCACCTAATGTGGAATTTCTAGCTGACAACAAACTCCTTTAAGAAGATGATTGTTGAGTGTTTAAAATTTGAAACAACTCAAATAAAAAACCTGTGAAATGATCCCAAAAAAAAAAATAATTAAAAAATAATAAATTTTTTTATAAATTAGCAATTTGATTCATTTTTTCAATTCTCAAAATTACACGGTTTGATCTAATTTTTAGATTAAAATGTAAAATTGTCCAAAATTCAATCAAATTGTATTTATTTATAAATAATTTTTTTAAATACATAGCACAAATATATAAAAATTGACACATAATACAAAAGATGTTTTTATAAAATTGTAAACTATAAAAATGTGTTTTTTTAAATCAAAATGTATGTTACAATACTTAAAATGTATTTTATAAAATTATAAGTTATTTAGCTGAATTTTAAAATAAAAAATTATAAATTATTTATAACATTCAAAATATTTTTTGTAAGTGACAAAGTATATATATGATAAAAATATTTAATATAATAATTTAAAAAATATTTTTATTAAAATAATAAGAAAAAATTGGCATAAAATATATTAAATAATAAAAATATTTTAATATTTATATATTTTTAATTTTATTTGTGACATGATCTTAAATAAACAGATAATATTATATATTTTTAGTTGATTTTAAATAAATCTTTTTTAAGAAACCGCAAAAACTAAATCCATAATTTATTCAAATTGAATTACACTTAACTTTTTGTTTTTGTTTTTGTTTGATTTAGATATATTTTAAAGACAAAAATTGAATCACACTATACTGCGAACACCCTCAATAATTATAATATGTTTAGCCAAATTGAGAAGTACACAATTAATTAAAGTTAAGCATGGAATAAAGCCAATGTTCTAATTAACAGATGTGCATGGGACTTCCAAATGCCAATGTTGAATACTGAGTAGTCTAAGTTAGAATTAATATTTGGGATTGATCGGATCCTCCCCAGCTATTATTTTCTCCATCTTATGTTAATTATAACACTCTAACCCAAATGTATTGTTGTTGAAGTAATGGTTTCCGCTTACAAGAAATGACCTTATATACTCTCTCGTTTCCATTTGAAATTGCAGAGAAAAACAACTATTTAGGTGCTTCATGCTTAATTACTAGTTCTAATAACGATTATGCTTTAGATGCTGCATTATTGGACGAACAAACTAGCTTCATTTAGGTTATATATGTTACGAATGTTGCTTTATGGAATATAAGGATTAGGAAATGTCTATCTATGATTGTGAATTTGTGAGAAATAGTCACTAATGTTTAAAGCAAGTAAAAGGCGTGGATGAGGGTGTGAAGGGAAATTAAGGAGTGGAGGTGGGGTGCCAATGGCAACCGTCCATATAGATATTCATATCAACATACAAAAGTAGATAAATAATGGGATCTTTAAGTATGAATTTAGTTGTTTTTTTTAATGCAGAGAAATTATCATAAACACTTTTAATTTATATTCAAATAGATTATATGTTGTAAATTTTTAATAAGGAATCTATTTATTTAAAAATAAGTCTTAATAAACTTGCTCTATCTAATAAATTTATATCAAAATTTAACGATCTAATCATTAAATTAAAAATTCTTAATATATAGATCAATTTTGTAAAATTTTTTAAAAAATTAAAAATCATTTCATATTTCATTTTATTAATTAAAATTAACAGATAATTATAAAAATATTTTATATGTTGATTTAAATTTATATAAAAAAGTATTATATAATTTTTATTTTTTATAAAAATTTGTAAATTTCTAACCCCTGACCTTGCTTAAGCGTGGATCAACCCCTACCGCTGAACCACACGCTTGTAGTTAATAATATATATAATTATATTAAATACTTAAAAAGAGAATTTTATTATCCGTAGTAATTTTATCTAACTCTAAATATATACTATACTCTAATAATGTAAAAATATTTTTATATTATCATTTAATTATAAATTATGATAAAATTGTAAACTTTTATAATAATATTCTTAAAAATTCTACCAATATATAGTGTGAACTAATTTATTGATAGTGTTAATTGATTATTTTTTATATTGACAATGCATTAAACTCAACTCAATAATTTTTTTTTTTTGTTTTGTTATGGTATATCCCAATTAACTCACCAAGTCATAGACTAATCACGTTTGTAATATTGTGATTATCGTTAGTCTAAAAAGTATTCACACTTTAAGAATTGAACATAAGATTCTTCGCTAAATACAGGGACGGAGCCAGGATTTCAATACTGGGGGGCCGAGAATTGGAATGATCAAATGAGGCGCTACATTTTTTTTAAAAAAAAAAAATTCCAAAGTGATACCACATAGCAGGCCGTACCAGAAGTCCAAAAGTTGAATAAAAAAATATATTTGGGTTATTCATTTAATTATACATATGAGTTTATATTAAAAATAGGGGGTGCCATATAGTAATATATATGTATATAAAAAAAAATTAAAATTGTTGGGGGGGCCGTGGCACCCGTAGGTCCCCCCTTGGCTCCGTCCTTGGCTAAATATATCGTTTTCATAACGTATGAGCGCATGGTGTCCATCCATTATGTCATTCCATCAAGTTAATTAATTAATATGTATCATGCCATATGTCAACTTTATTATTATTTTAAAATAAATATGAAATCTCTCATATTTTTAATGTTTTTTTTAATTAAATTCATTATAATTTCTTTTAAATAAAGACCTAGTTGTAAAATATACATGTAGTTAATATTAAGCAATTAAAACAAATGATCACTACCAGAAGGAATCAACAAAAACATTTCATAAAAATTTTATTTTGCTGATAAGAAGCTCAGGCTACAACACTGAAAACAAATAAATAAAAGAATGTATATATTAATTTGTCTCAATCAAAACTTGCGCATTTGTTGTTGTTGCACAACAAGAATGGAAGCATTAGTTTTGGTATCAGAGGAAGCAAGCAAATCTCCAATGACACCTAACTCAGGAAACTCAGTCCAATTCTCAAGTGTTGCTGTTTGAGATGATTTTATCCCATTTCGTCTCCCAACTATGAAAAAATCATGCTGATTCGCTATCTCAGAGACAAAAGTAGTAGTCTCAGAAGGGTCATGAATAGTGATCTTTTCATAATTCACATTCTCAATATACCCATAATACCCCTTAACACTCTTCAGCACCTCATCATCCAACATCATGTCCCAGTTTGACTCACTCTGACTTGAAGCTAAGTGGTACACAAACAAGTTATACGCACAATCTTTGATGGCCCTCTTAGCCAAGCATAATGCCTCTCTATCATCAGGACCCCCCAAAAAAATCATGCCTATTTGCTTCATGCAAATGTTGGAAGAACTTGATCGATTCACAAGAATCCCCACAGAGCATGGTGCTCTTTCCAAAACTTTAGAGTTCAAAGTTCTAATGTTGTCATCCATTGATTCGATGGAACCACCCTCGTTCCATCTCACGTGAAACGGAAGAAGGATGATGCAGGCAAGCTTATCCAATGCAAGGTAACATATGTCATCATGCATGAAGCGTAAGGGAGATATGGCTGTGTAGGTGCTAACTGATGTAGTTCCAGCTTTATCATGTTCAAAGAGGTTGAAAGCGACAATGACATCTTGAGAGTAGTTGTAATCTGAATCAACACTTTCTTGGAGACGGTGTGAGATGAAGATGGGTGAGGATCTGCCAACTAGCTCCATGAGGTGCAAGATGTGAACCACCATAGGGTTGCTTGTTGTGGGGCAAAATATGTCAAGGGCATTTCTTATGGACAATATGTGGCTTGGTTTGTGGATGCATGCCACCATCCGAAGCTCTGAGTTGGGTTTCAAGTTGAGTATGTTCCTTTTTTGATACCCCACATATTTCCTTGATGGGTCGTATAAGGCTTTCACCCCAATGCGTGCAATGCTTCCCAACACCAACACTGACATAGCCATCATGGACACGGTTTCCTTGCTCATTAACTGCATAAATTGCACATTACTTGATGAGAACCAAAAAAGAAAGCTATAATATTCATATCACATAATCATAGCCATCATGGACACGGTTTCCTTGCTCATTAACTGCATAAATTGCACATTACTTGATGAGAACCAAAAAAGAAAGCTATAATATTCATATCACATAATTTTTTTTAACCTGTTTTTATTACAATAACTACAGATAAAACTTACATGTGTACTATAAGTATTATTTTTTAAGAAGGATTGAAGTTTTATACCTTAATATATATAATGTGTAATAAAGATTTCATTAAATATCAACAGTTTTTTAGAGGTAAAATTTTAATTCTTATCGAAGAATATTATCATCTACGTTTTGTCCATTAAATATTTAATCTCTTTCTTGTCTTTTCTTCTTTATCTCTTGTATAAGAAATTGTGACAATGTACAATTTTCATGCAATTTTTCTAAGAATAAGTGATGTGAAAAGAAAATAAAAGAGCTAGCAAATGGAGTTAGAGAATAAAAGAGATTGTTTAGAAAAAATGAAGGAATATATGGAAATGTTACCATCGAATCAAATAGAAAGACTCCATTGCAAAAGTCAACGACACCTTTGCAACTCAATAGGAGTGCAAGACACAAACCATCTGTTTTAGGCATCTGACAATGGCGACAAATTCCAATGGTTATGAGCATCTTAAGCAAATGCACAACCACAATTATGGTGCCCACAATAAGGATCAAGGTGCCATTAATGTGCACAGATATATCCACCTTCATGGCACAACAAGTGACAAAGATAGGCAGAAGGAACCATGTGTTGAACAACTCTAATTGTTTAATTAATTCATATCCCAAGGGAGGACCTTCTGGCACAAGAAGACCAATGAGCAATATACCAGCTAACACAGTTTGGCGTGCAAATACTCCTAACAAGCTAGCAACAAGGGTCATAAGGATCACCACATAAGTGTATGATTTCTTCACAGGCCTACCTTCAGGTGTGATCCTCACCATCCACCTCATTGCGGGGCGTGCAACCACAATCACAACAGACACAAAACTAATGAATTTTAGGGTAGTGTATAGGGCAAGTTTAGGTCCCTTGCCCAGTTCATGATCATGAGAATCTGTTTTAAGGCTGCTCATAATAGCAGTGCCAAAACCTGTCACAACTTGGCTTGTTACATCCATAACAAGGGCCGATGAGAGTGCTAAGCGTCCAAGTTCTGAGTTCAAAATCTCAAGATCAGAGAGAAGAAAAGCTATCACAGGGAATGAACAACCAGTATGGCATATTACTATCACAGGGAGTTTTCCTCCATCGAACTCTCCAAGGGCATTTTGCAAGCTCTCCATGAATTTATAGCATAGGCTGACACCAATTAATGTCGGAACCAACAAGGAGGAAAGAGCGATTGTCCAAGCTTTTCTGCCCGTTCTAGTTATCATGCTAAAGTCCATTTGCACTGTATTTAGAAACAGGAACATTGCATATCCCACTCCTGATATAAGGCTCAACACATCTTCACTCCCGTAAGGAAACAATAGGTCTTTTACGGGTGCCAATGCTGCTATCTTTAGAGAAGGTCCAAGAACAAACCCAGCCTGCAATTGAGACATGTATATATGTATCAATGTTTCTCATATGTAAGGAACTACAATAAGACCAAGTGATTTGGTACATTTTTCTTAACTGATTAAGGACTAAAGTTTAATTTACAACTTATATATGACTGAAAGTATTACTTTTCCCTTAAATGAATCAACTCGAATAGAGGAAGTTATATCTCTTATTTATAAAAAAAATTAAAATAAAAGAGAACTACAACAACTATATGTACCACAATGTTTGGTTATAAATTATTAATGCTTCTAGGATGGATTTGTGTTTTTAATGGTGTTTTGGATTGTTATTAGAATTTTATCTCATAATTTGTGTAACAAACATTTACATAGGTTTTTAAAATAAAACTCGCAAAAACTTATATAACTTCATTTAAATTTTGTCCTTAAAATAGTCTCTACTCATAAAAGCTTTAATTTTTATAGGTTAATGTCCAAATCACTTAAAGAACTATGCCCATATATATAAACTTTAATCTAATGTATTTATTCCAAATTTTAATCCTATCCGGCTATATATCTAGCATGGAATATTGATCTTCTGGTTTTTCTTATATAACAATATTAGAAAATTATTTTTCTACATAACCTGATGTGCAATAAATGTCACGTGACATGTTCTTGAAGAAGGCTATAGAAACAAAGAGAGGAGAGTGGAGAAAACATGTACCATAATTTGTGAAACGAAATAAGGGAATCCCATACGTTTAAGTATTGTATGAAAGAATTGGGTGATGAGGAAAATGGTGATAATTTGGAGCTCCAAAATTGGCATTGTGGCTCTGTGAGGTAATATGCCAGAGGTTGAGTTACTCCACATGCCATCAGATATTATCTTGGGTGGCATTTGAATGGTAACATTATAGCTAACATATCTTCTGTCTGGGTCTGAATTCACCGCGTCCAACACTATTGAAGAGAAAAGTGTTCCGTTTGTGTTTGATAGGACCTTATGTATCCCCATGATGTCTTCTGGTAGAAACTCAAAGAATGAAATTGTTCAAAATACAATAGAGCTACGTAGAATTATGGAATGATAATCTTTATGATCGGATCAGAATCACACAGATGAGTTATTCATTGGCACAAGTCCTTTTATTGTTTAATTGTGACTTCATTTGGGTGTAAGTTGCATATAACAGACTAGTTTCTTATCATTTGAACATATTAGGATAACAGATTTTTCATAACTTGTTTCAACTGTACCGAAACAAGAAATACAACTACGTATCTTAAGTTACGTAACTGTCATGTCACAACTAAACCAGAAGCTGAAAACCGTTTATTCAAATCATGTTCTCGTTAATTACAGATATTGTTGTTGATCATTTGCATAAATATATATTGTCAGGCTTTTCCAACTTCAATTTTCTATTAACAGCAACATGGCACTAAATATAGGGGCAAAACATTAGTTGTCTTTCTATAGTGTATACGGAAGCGATCCTGACTTCAGTTAAAGTGGGTGATCGCTCAAGGTCTCATTTTTAAAGGAGTATCAAATTAATTTTAATTGATATAAATATAAAAAAAATTATATATAAAAATAAATTAATCATCAATGATTGATAGGTGATACTCATATTTCTCAACAAAAAATTATATATAATTTAATTTGAAAATATTTATCCATAATTTTAGTAACATAAATAAGTAATGTTAAATACATCAAAGAAAGAGTAATATATAATATATTATTAATTTATTTCTTTTTATTTCTCTTAGTCTGAACCTATCTCATTATTAATAAATAAGGGTTACATTGAATTTTTTTCTCTTTTTTCCTTTATTTCTAATATCTTTGATTCTCTCTTTATTATCTTAATTGCAACATTTTTTTATCTATACTAGAATCTCAATCAATTTACAAATCTCTATTTGTTAGCCGTTACAAACTTCTTTATGATGTGTTGCTATTATTGATCTTTTTTTCATTACAATAAATTTAGAGTTCAAAGTTTAAAAATAAACAATCAAGTACTATTGTTTGATCTCATTGTCATAATCAAAGGTTTTTAATTTGATTCATAAATTATAAATTTAGTTCTGCTTTAATTTTTATTGAAAATATTTTTGTAAAGAATCTTGATTATGAATGGAATATTAATGATTTTGCAACAAAAAATATACGAAGGACAATATTCAAATAATTATGAGAACACTATTTTTTTCGATTTGCATGGGCACCAAAAGTCGTATGGCTGGCCTTGATTGTATGTGTGTATATACTATGTGTATTTTTTCTTTTTATGGACATGATTAAATAGTGTTCAAAAATTG